GCGGCCGCACGTGGACCGTTGATTGTAGGACGACGATCCATGTTGTAGGCCGGGGTGTCTGTGATAGGCACTGCAAACAAGACAAAGGAGAAAGGCGTTGGACATTTTTGGCCGGCAAGCTGCGTATTCCAGTTGCGGGCATTAATTGTCGGAATTTTGGGTCGCGTCCAACACGGATGATGGACGTTCAGCAGATCACGACCTGCACACCGACCGTCAAACACTTACTACACAAGCGGCCAACAATCCTCGATAAGGGGTGCCGTTACTTTTCGTAGAGATGCAGCCGCACAGCGGCTCTATCCTATAAATACAACAGTTCCCTGTGTATGAATCACCCGTTCCTACTATTGTCTCTGATGAAGGGCCGCGACGGATTTTGAAACGTCAGGCGAATAAAATTCTTGTCCCTGGTTCTTCTCACAACTAGCATTGTAACCACGCATCAGGAATATGTCCTGCGTTTCTGCGCACACCATAAACAGTTCAGACCATAGAGAACATACACCAATTTCTGGGGCAATATCTGGGTTAGGTATGAATAGCCGATGACGGCTTACAAACCACAAATGGACATCCTAATCTCCTTTTCTTTGTCACTAATGTCCTTCTGCCAATAGCATTAGCCGCCTTGCGGCGTGGCTCCAGTGTGAGCCCCAAAGGCACCAAGGTGGGACGAGTGTGTTCTATAACCGATCGGTGTACACCTATCTGACACTGTATATTCCCGATCAAAAGGCTGACAGGACAGCGAACCAGTGGCGCAGTGGGTAGAGCACTGGACTTCTCATTAACAAGGTCGCGGGTTCGAAATTCGAATGGGGCATCAATTTCTGGGGCAACATTCGAGTTGGGTATGCCTAGCTGACGACGGCTAATAAGTCAAAAATGGCCAACTTAGTCTTCCTTGTCTTTGTCAGTAATATCTCTTTGCCAATATATAATATACATAATATAATAATCAGATGTACAGCACAGACTCCAGAGACATGCATCATCTAACATTACAAGTGGTCCAAAGAAACGCAAACCACACGCTATCGCAGAATTCCTTGGAAACTAGAGTCAACTTAACCAAAACAATAAAGGAAGATACATTTTGAAAAGAGTACATTCAGTTCTGAGCAGCAAGAATATTTTTTACAAATGTCCATTGTGCTAAATACTTTTATCCTCACATTGCAAAAAACATTTTCGTGTGTAGATTTGTAATTTACCTCACAGGAATTTTTTAAATAATCTAATGTTATTGCAGCAAAAAAGCTCACAATAAATGAAGAAAGATTAATTTGGTCATATTTCTTTCTTATTTATGGTTTGTTTTATTTTTATATTCAGTTTCAGTATATTTTTAGACTACTATTGAGGTTTACTAATTTTATTGTGGTTTTATAAAACCGAGTGTGACTGGCTGACGACAGCCACTTCAGTACTACTTGCCCATACTACCAACTGTTACGGACGTCAGGACCTCGGGTGGGGCTCAAGGCACAGCGGGACAAATAAGGTCCGTTAACGGTCTGGTGAACTTTTCTCAACGAGTGTCAATATCTCTCGACATAACTCGGCAAGGCAGTGAGCTCGTGGGTCAATGGTTAAGGTGACTGATTATGATCAAAGAGGTCGCGAGTTCGAGGCTCGGGTGGGAAGCCACTTGGGGCTGGGTGTGACTGGCTGACCATGGCTTATAAGACAGAAATGCCCATTCCAACCTGCCTTGTTTTGCCGGTAATAATATTTAGTTTTATATTTGTTTTTAGTTTACTTAGTTTAGTTAATTGTGGATTGCCTTTACTAAGTTAGTTTACTTTAGTCATGTTTTAGTATACTTTTTAGTTTTAGATTTATTACCCACATGCAGTTGCTTTTCGAGTTAAAATATTTACAAGGTTGCTTTATTTTAGTGTATCTAATGTGGTCTGTTGAACTTATTTATAGTTCAGTCCTGTTTTTAGTTTAGTCTTCAGTTCATTATTACGCTTTATTATTGTTATTTTCGTTTTAGATTACTTTTTGATAAAGGGAGTTTAGCTTACTTTAGTTTACCTTTTAGGCCGTCTATAGGGGTCACTTTTGTTTTGGACTTATAGTGAAAAGTACTTTCACATTTTTGTTTGAAAGTCGGACTAATGAAAATGAGAAAGCAGTTGTTTATTTTCTAGTTAATTTTATTAGTTTACTTAGTTCCCAGTATTTGCGTAGCTGTATATTTTAATTTTGGCGCTCTTTTGGTTAACCGTCATTATTTTATTTAAATAATTATTCCTGTTTTTTCTACGTTCATAAACTTTATTTTTTATTTATATTCCCTTTCCCTTGTATTGCCAACACTCTATAACATTAAGTTCACCCGCCCCCGTATCACAGAAGGATGGGATTTTCGCGTGCTCATCTGGCAGGTAAACTAGACAACTATCGTTTTGGCCTGGTGAATTATCGACTTTAATATGCCTAATTTTGCTGTAAAATGTAACCTAAGCTAAGTCGTACATACCCCCTGGATACAAGGAGGTTGGTCACTGAAACTATACTAGATATTTCCGTAAGGATTACCTATATACCATCGTCCGGGCATGCAAGATAGAAAACAAAGAAAGAGCAAGGAAGATGCTAACTGGCCGAGGGCTGCAACCTTCTACATCACGAGCAGGTTTCCGCGAATGACTCGCAAAATTTACATTCAATATTCTTTTCTACAATACAGTGTGTATATGAGCTCAATTCTCTTGTTCTAATAAAGGAAGTGAATAAGAATCGAGCTAAACTGAACAAAGTAGGCCAGCATGCGGAGAGAAAGGAGAAAAAAGCGGCTTAATTTCAAAGGTCCGCAAACCGAGATGTCCTTTTTTATCCAAAGCCTATTCCTGATGTTTCTGAATTAACATGGGATTGTAAACCATTTTTTAAAAATATTTCTGACTGCATTCATTAAAGCATGTGAAGGAAAGGCAACAATAAAGTCACTTTAAAATTCCGCTTGGTGATGCAGCTTTCTCGGTACGGCAAACGAGCGACCTCGAATCCGAAGTTCTAATGAGTTTGTCTGCCTAAATGCAAGTGAGAAGCATTTTGCATTTCTAATAAGGTTATACCAGAGGCTGAACCACTTCCGTCGGCTCT